CATCCAGCCAGATGGTCATTTCACACTATCCTATGACCTGCATCCTGCCAGATAATTATTACTGAGTTTTCTGTTTAAGGCCCGCCCTATTATGTTGTAAACTGTTAATAAAAGGCTTTGCTGTGAAGGGATCTGTGAGAAAAGGTGCTGGTTCTGAGCCAGCAGTTCTTCTCCCCTACTGCAGAGGCTGACGTTACAAATCCCTGTCTGTGTTTGATCATTTCGTCCTCTTAAAACTCTTAAACTCACATTTCTCTGGATTTAAACCCAACAGTAAAGTTGGTAATAATTCATAATCTGCAAACATTCTATACACTGTATACCTCATCAAGCTCTTCACATCCTCAAACCGAATATGATATCTTGATGCATTTTCGGTCACGTCTTGGTTGAGGTTTGGAGGACCCAAATGCAGAGGCAGAGAGGCTGAGGTGAATACTTGTAGTTTTAATGATGAAAATGGTTAACAAAGGCAGTCCAAAAATCCAACTAAAAATGTAACAGCCCAGAACCATGGAGACATCAAAAAACACGTACAAGGAGCCAGGGAGAGACGAGATGAGACGACAACGGCGATGACAGGACTAGCGACAACAAGGAACCAACAAGGAGTGAGAGCAGAGGGAGAGCATATATAGCTGACAGAGACAAAGGGAGGGCTAACGAGCTGACAAGGAGCAGGTGTAAGAGGAGACAACGAGGGAGCCAAGGGGAAAGAAACACACACACACAAGAGGACAACAGAAAAACATGAGAACTAACAAATCTAGAAATTACAACAAAAAAGGAATTAAACCAATAAAAATAGGGAACATAGAGCAAAGTAAAGAACAATATAACCAAAACTGACATTTTCATAAAATCACCTGTTAACTGTTTAATGAGCAGCTTGATCTTCAGCTGCCAAACTCTGACCTTTTCCCTGCTCCTCCTCAGACTCCTTCGGTAGTATCGGTCGCGCTGCCATCTGAGCTTCAAACACCGGTCACACAGTTCTGCTTGGAGCAGCGTTCCCACGGAGGCGCTAACCGTCATGTGTGGGCCGTGGATTTTATGCAGCTGCTTCCTGTGTTGCCAGGCACACACACACATGTTGCCCAGTTCTCCATAAACCTTGGCTGCGGCTCCTACCAGCCTGCAAACAGGTATGATACACCTTCATCACATCAGTCAGTGGTAATGCAGGAGCCGGAAAGGAAATAGATTTTTTTTTTTAAAAGCTGGTTTTCATCCTATCAGTGTGAGTCTAGAGTTTTCTACCAATCTTGGTCGTTCCTGGTCTCTGCTCCACACTGAGTGCCTGCCTGAGCTCTGTGCTGGGCCACATCTACCTCACAGCACCATCTACTCCTCAGACAACTACAGCGGGTATACATACATTAACATGTTCTGATTTATTATCATGTGTGTGAATTTGATGACTCTTAACAGCAAAGTTTGTTCTGTTTGTTTAGATGGACCAGAATCTCCATCCCTCTGCCCAATGCTGCCTTAACAGAGACGACCCGCTTTCGCTGGAAGCAGTCCGGCGCTGGAACAGGCAACATGTGGGCCATAGACAACGGTTAGAACTCCACAAATTCTTCAGACATATTCTGGATTTCATTTGTTGTAATCAAATCAAAGATCAAATAATTTCAGACATTTTAACAGGCTCCAACTTGAAGCACTGCACAAAATAAGCTGTGATTATACCAACAGTTCATTTGAAATTCGGTAGGGTTTTTAATGATGCATTAAAGCAGTTATTTTTGAAGATGGAGAGAAAGAAAAATGCATTCAGATTTATTTATCAAAGTTTTTGCTTAGATAATTAAAGATATGCATATATGGCCTCACCATATTTGGCTCCTATGTCAATATGACTGAACTTTTCATGATTTTTGAGCCATCCTTTTTATTTATTTATTTAACCTTTATTTAACCAGGAAGTCCCTTGAGATTGAAATCTCTTTTTC